AATGATACTCCTAGTTACTAAATCCCATGACCCTTACAGTTCATCTCTGGAAAACCCTGCACCTGAAGTAAAAAACACGCTCCCATTCCTTGGCCCAGCGTGTATAGCTTCCGAAGATGTTGGGCCTCCAGAGCACATAAGCTTAGAGTAATATAGGGGCCTTAATCCCTAAGGCTCCATGTACCCATATAGAGATACATGGGCCCCAATGTACATATATAGGGACTACATTAAGGCCAATGTATATACTATATGAGTACATGGACCCTTAGGGAATAATTTAGAATAGGGCGTTGGGTCCCATTATAAATGATAGTATGACTATAATAATAATCATAAGGACCCCCAAAATAGTATTGGTAATTATTGATACCCCCATAGTAGAAAACTTCCTGGCACTGGGGTTGAGAACTCAAGGTGGAGTTTTGGGCTTAGGTTTGGAGTTTGGAGTGTAGGTGGGGCTTAGGATAACGGATCTATGCTCTGGACTGCGGCGAATAAAGGGCCGAAGCAAAGCATCGCCTATCGTAAGCTGCGTTTCTACAGATACCACCCCCGAAGAGAAACCGCTCGATCTAGTTCAAGAAGCCCCAGATCTATATCCTAGACCGACCCACCTCTTGTTACAAGTCTCAGAGAACTGCTCATCAAGCCCGAATCTAGACCCCCTTCAGGAGCGGCACATCCCCTAAGCAGGAGCAAAAACATGTACCCTATGATTGAAACCACCTACGTGTCCGGTATCATGGGGAGCTAAAGTTTAACCATTCTGGTTATATAGGGACTATATGGGGACTACACTACCCCAAAAAGGTTAAAGGTGGCCTACTCTACTACAGTACTGGGACCATTGCCTGCAAACGCATCGATGCAACCGTAAGAAAACTAAGCCCACTAAAACTCTGTAAACAAAGCAGAACCACATGATGTACTCCTCCAAGCTCATGAAATCCCGAAATTCGAAGCCCATGCACCCGAAACCCTTCTGGCAGGTTCACGGGTAGTTATAGGTGGGTTAGAAATGGGATACTTTGGGTTATAGCCCATATTAGGGGGCTTCTAACCCCACCTCTACGTACCCATAAACCCTTAACCCTAAACATGAACCCGAAACCTGAAACTCTAGACCTGAAAGCGCAAGATCACACAACTATACCCTCAACACCATCCGAAAACCCTGAAACCGACTTCGAATTATTCTACCTAGATTCGACCTGGAGGCTCATACCCTACCCCTTTTTCAGGGATCCCCAGTTTTATGGTGAGGATCTGTGATCTTAAAAAGTAGGCGCCCTACAAAAGGGGTAGGGTATGAGCCTCTCGGTGGGGTTCGGTCTAGAGTCTTTTGCTTTAAAGCTGAACTGCACCCTTTCTCCGAAAGCAGGGTATAAGCCGTATTTCAGAACAAAACCCTCCAACACCCCATTCCCATGAGCAAGGCACTCAGGTGACCTAGTCAAATCGTACTGAAAATATGAACTTCCATTCCGTCTTCGGTTTATGTACCATAACAATGTGAAACGTTACCCAACCCTAAACCCCAAGCTACCCTCAAATATACCCCCCAATACCCACTCTGAAGGGCCATAATAAGGACTCTCTTAAAGGACCCTTGGGGGGTCCTGGACTATGACAAACCCTCAGGGTCCATATACCCGTATGGCATATACTTTGGTCCCAATGTACCTATATAGGGAGTACTTTAAGGACAATGTATCTAGGATACCCAGTAACCTAAGAATAAAAAGGCCTCTCTTTTTGGTATTGGGTAACTTTATAAGGAACCTAGGACTACAAAAAGGGAATAAGGGTACTACTGGGCATCCTAGTATATACTATATTAGAGTACATGGACCCTTAGGGAAAGTTTGGGCTCCCGGGCTGCTGGATCGTCTGATTCGCCCCGGTGTCGCGGAGCTCGGCGGGTCGATCGGCCGTGAGAAGCAGCAAAGGTACCTTTTGCCAGGGTTTAGGGGTTTAGGGTTCAGGGTTTTAGGGTTTAGGGATTTATGGATTTAGGGTTTAGACATTCAGGGTTTAGGGTTTAGGGTTTAGGGATTAGGGTTTAGGGATTTGGGGTCGAGGGATTTGCTCTGAGGCTCGCCCATATAGTGTATACCTATGTAGGCCTTAAAGTCCCCCATATAGGGACCCCCTTAAGGCTTAATCAAGCAGCTACATGTATCTACTATAAAGGCACAAGGAGCCTTTGGATTAGGGTTTAAAGTAAAAGCCAGAAAGTTGGAATATGATTATCCTAAGCCCTTTATGGTAAATTATAAGGCATCCTACCCTGAAACCATATTCCAGCTTTCTGGAGTTCCCTTGGGGTTTAGTGATGTTTTGGGGTTTAGGGGTCGGATTTAGGGTTCAGGGATTAGGGTTTGAGGCTTTGGAGTGGTTAAGGAGCTTGAGGCTTTAAGGCCTTTGGGATTGAAGTTCATTAAATACGGGGTTTCGGGAAAACAGCCCAAACAGCTGTTGCATTTTCCGGCTTAGGAGTTTGGGGAGTTCTTCTTCTTCTACTACGGCTGCCAACGACGACGGACGACGAAGACGACGACGACGACGACGACTACTACTACTACTGCTATATTTCATTTCGAAACTCATCCATAGGACGTTCCAGTTATAGGATTGATCAATGGATCAAGCAGCCACAGAGCTGCCGGGCGCTTAGCGCTTGTCCTTCGCGAGGCATCGGAGTCGGGTGCAGCGTGTGAATGAATACTACTGCTATATAACTATTGCTACTACGACGCCGACGACGACGACACCAACCACAAAACTACGCAAATCTCGGCCCCCTCCGACGCCTGCGCCTGCGAGGCCTCCACCGCGGCGGGAAGCAGATTTGCCACCGCCGTGCCAGACCTTTGGATCTTGCAGACCCACAGGGTCCTCTAAGGGCTCCTTTCGGGATTCCTTTAAGGGCTCCTACAACGGTTCCTACAAGAATAAGAGGTCTGCAAGAGGTTAGGGCATAAGCATCCTACCCAGAGGCTCAGACCCTACCCCCTTTTTTGAGGATACCTAGTCTTATGGCGAGGCTCTGCTGTCTTAAGGGTATGAGCCTCTAGGTAGAAGCCAGAGACTCCGCTATCCCTGAATGAAGGCACCCTTTGCTCTGGAGCTCCTTTACTAGGATACCCAGTAGCCTAAGAATAAAAAGGCCTCTCTTTTTGGTGTAAGGAACCTAGGACTACAACAAGGGAATAAGGGTACTACTGGGCATCCTAGTTTAATTTAAGGGATCCGGACGTAAGGGATCGATAGGGTTTAGGGCTTCGGAGACTTCAGTCAGCATCCCTTAATTGAGGGTTCAGGGTTTAAACTAACTTTAGGGTACCTTTGGTTATAGTATAGGATCCCTACTATGCTTTAAGGTGTATCCCTTGATTAGAGGTTTAGGGTTTAGGGCACCTTAAACGAGAATACGATCCCCACTATGGTTTAAGGTATATTCCTTAATTAAGGAATGCTGGTTAGGGTTTAGGGTTTAGGAATCACTGGGAACAATTGAGAAAAGATGGTGCCCGAAGGGCTCAAGGTGTGGGGTTCAGGAGGTTTGAGAATTTGGCTGATGGTGTAGTGTGTGGGGTTTAAGGATAGGCGATACGGTTTTGGGTGTCGGGTTTAGGGTTTCTCAAAATGCGGTTGATGATATAAGGACCCTATTTATGGGAATTATGCTATATATTCCTTACAGTATTATGGGCCGTGCAGGATTTATATCATCAACCGTATAGGGTTCCAAAAAGGCAGGTTTCAGAAGGTAAGGGGCCCAGGAACCCAAATAGTAGGAAATCCGTGTAAGGTCTCCGAAATGAGGCAACCCTGCACTTTCTCAGCCCCCGTTTCGGAGGGCACTGGGTGTGTACTGGGACGTTCACGTGTAGTTACAAGAAGGGGTCATAGCCTTAGTTGCTGAGTTCACAAGCCCCAAAAAGTGTACACTTTCAGTCTTATAGTGGGTAATATTATTATCCCAAAAAGTGTAAAGTGTATCCACTCAGCTACTAAGCAGCCGATATTCGGGGACTTATAACCCCACTTATAACTACCCATGACCCTCCAAGTAGCCCAAAACTCCGCTACTACCAAACTCCTAACCGAGCCTCTGGCCCAAAGCCGTCGGCTTGGTGTTAAAGTCCCGGCCAATATGCCGTGAACCCGTAAAAACCCCGTAAAAACCACTACAAATATCCAAACACAGCTAAAAATCAATAAGAACACCAAAAAACGCCTGAAAACCACAACAAATAACAAAGCGCCTAATCCCTCAACTTCCCTAAACCCTAAACCCTTAAACTTTAAACCCTAAAGACAAGCCGCAAGGAAGACCCTAGCACATTGCTTCCTTTAACTGAACAGCCTGGATCAGATCCTGAAGCCCTGCTACAAGGGCGTTCATGATTAGACTAGGGTTTTGGTGCCATCTACACTATTTTAATTCTGAGAAGGAACCCCCAAAATAGTAGTGGTATTTATTTTGGCCCCTGTACTACATGTTGCGAAAATAGGGGGGCCTAATATAGTACCCTAAGTAGTAGGAGCCTCATGATAAGGAACCCAAAGTAAGGTACCCCTGACTTCGGAACCTCCCATGTAGAGTTTAGTGTTTAGGGACTATGTTCAGGTCTTAGGGTTCAGGGCCAGGGTTTCGAAGAACGAGTGAGACTGTTCCTTGAGATTCCCTTAACGGTTCCCTGGAGGGCTTTCTAGGAGCTTATAGTAAGCTGCGAGGGTTCAGAACGGATTACAAACATTTTTCCTGGAGTGAGTTATAAACATGAGCCTCAGGTGCCTCAAAACCCTATCCTGATGATCCACGCCCACATTACCTGTCATTTCCCGGCCATGCACTCATCAATGCATTTCTGCAGGTCTCTCTGAAGCGGTTGAAGACAAACTTTGTCAACACACCCAGAAACAGTCATCACATGATGTGAACTGCTGCTTGCCAGTGCAAGCCGCGGTGCGTGGGCTTTGCCACCTTCTTATTGGCGATCTTGATGTTCAAATTCGAAGCAACCGCCATGAAGCGAATAAACGTGACTGGGACAGATCCACAGACCTGCCAGTCGCATCAGGCAGACAGAGAAAACGCAGAATGATAACACCCATGCCGCCCAAGAGAACAACATGCGCGGTTTCGTGAAGTACGAACATGTCCTGATTTGCCACGACTTGACCATGGTCTGCAACTGCAGGTGCAGCGACCTTCCCACAACAAACACGCTGGTGGCCACTGACACCATATTTATAGCGAGTACACTGCGTGAAGATGACTCGTACGTCAGAGCGATGACGGAAACTTGGAACCAAAGACTCGGAAGAGCTTCTGCAAGTACCTTAGGAACAAAGGACCAACACCGATCAACCAAAGGATACAAAGCTCCGTTTGTGTCCAGCTCCAGCTCCGCATAGACCAACTTCTCAAAGACTCTGAGTAGGACCAGCAAGCCACCGAGGTCGGTGATATGTTTCCACTCATACCACAGCTTGCATCTGTGCTCGATGCATGTCTCTGCACCTTCCATGTCGAACAGCCTTTCTGCAGTAATATACTGGTCCTTCTGGTACAAAAACAAGAGCTGACACAGCATGGAGAAAAGAAGTATGGACAGCAGAACACCAGGCAATCCGAGACCAGCGACCAGCCAACCTAGCAGCGGAATGTAATTCCAAGAAGCCTCAAACTTGAGACGGAGATCATCCGTGTACAGGTTGAATGCATTCGCGGCTGCCCAGGCATCCAGAGCGGGATCTATAGCTTCAATCACGCTAAATGGGCAGGCGAGAGCGCCTGAGAGGAAACAACGCAGATTATAGGTACTCCCGAAGTCGGCAAGAGCATCCTGGGTTCTTGTTAAGGAACTTGACTGAAGTTACTATAATAAGGAAATCCTGTTATTCACTATAGATCCCTGTTATGGTAACTATTAAACTGAGTTCCTTAACAAGAACCAAGCATCGATAGAGTGCTGCCATGTGGTCCTACATGGCTGCCGCTCCAGCCACGAAACCAGCCTGAACACCAGCCAATACTGGAAGGCCGTGGAGCCAATGAGCACGACACCCACCGTCGCACCGGCGGCAGAGCCGTGGTCACTGTAGGCACAGAGAAAAATCACAGGCGCACACGCGAACTGCACCAAGGAAACAGCGATACAGTGCATGTATGCCGACCATAGATCGTCGCTGCTGGCATATTCACCCGGGTGCAGCAAGTTCTGCCACTCGCACAGGTCACCTGTATCTGCCCCATCAGAGTCTGTATCAGACCTAGTCGCAGTTGCACGGGCCATGGCAACATGAACCCAAATGCATTGGGGGGGGGGGGGGGCGGGCTGACATGCACTAGGGCATGACGTGCTTGAAGTCCCTGAACCTATTAAACCCTTTAACCCCAGACCCTCAAACCCAAAATCCTCAGCCGGAACTCTTTGCTTTTGCCATGCTCTACTGCTTGTTTCGCACATCAGATGTTTAAAAGGCTCAGGGCTTGGGATTTAAGAGCTTAGGGTTTAGGTTCCAGGGTTTAGGGCGGAAGGTGTGGGGTTTAAGCTTCAGGGCTTTCCCGGCTCATGTTTGAGCAGTTTTGGTGAGGGTATGTGAATGGTGAAGAGCTTGTGCAGCTTGTGAGAAATCTACGGTGTTGGCTTGAACAATAGATGCTCAGAAAGATGCAACAGCCGTGAAACACCAAAAGCGGAACTATGGAAGCCATGGAAAGGTTCGCCTCGGCTGCGAGATGCAACTGATGCAACTGTTGAGTCCAGAATTTGCGCTCTAGGATAATGGGGTAGAAACCAGAACCCTAAGCCCCAAATCCCTGAACGATTGGACAACCAGAAGGCCTAGAGTGCGAAAGGTAGCACTCATGTAGTCCGTGGCTCCCGGACCATCTAGAAACCGCAAGGCCCTCAGAAACACCCTCAAGCTTCCAAACCCATGAAGCCAGACCGTTGAGTATACATGTCTCCATAGTCCGAAGATGCTTCCGTAACAGCCAAAGGTTGAGGGTGTGTAACGTAAGCACTCCTTGGGGTTTAGGGGCCTAGAGGACGAGAAGAGGGTTTCCAGCAAAGGGTGGTATTCTTGTGCACGGACGGTAAGGGGCATTATAAATGAATTACACGCCGTGCAGACTTTCGACAACCTTTCGAACGGTTATTCAGAGCATCTGCAGGACATGGGAGCCTCAGCAAAGCAACAACAAATAGACACATTTCTGCAGAGTGAGTGAATAGCAGGCAGCAGCAGAAGCCTCCCAGTCCCTCCAAGTCTTTCCCCAACCCTAAACCCGGACTCTTATAGGGAGGAAAGGAAACGGATCCTTGACAATAAGGAACCCCCAAAATAGTGTAGGTAAGCATTTAAGCACCTATATTATCTGCTCTGCCGAAAGCTCAAACAACGTGGAACATGGACAAAGGATCTTCAGCGCCGACGCTCTCTACGCAACGCGTCTTTCATGAAGCTAAGAACTGTTGTTCCAACTCCTGCCAGCTTCAGAAGATGGACTGTGAATCTGGCAACTCGCTAACTACCAGTAACTAGTACCCGAAATCTATTCACTACTGTCCCTAAACTCGAAATTCGAAACCCTACCTAAACCCTAAACCCTAAACCGTGAACGACTGACCCTAAACCCGAAATTGCGAAACCCTACCAATACTACGAACTTAGCCACCATTATCCCGAGGAGTGGCATGATAGACTTGCCGGCCGCTAGGGAAAACGGGCCCTGAGTTCCACAGTAAACATCGGGTTTAATTAGGGCTTAGGGTTCAGTCTTCAAGGTTCAGGGTTGGGGTTCCGGTTTTAGGGTTTAGGGTTATACGGTTTTCCTTTGGGAGTATGTTGCGCCTGTCTCTGCAGAAGCAGGTCTCAGGCACGCCCTTGCTGGGCTCACACAGGGTTCAGTGTTGTCGGTTGGGGGTTTAGGGTTTTCAAGTTTCAAGAAAGAGTTTCTGGTGAGGTCGGTAGTATAAGACTGAGATACTCTTCTGGCGAACTCCAAACAGCAACATAGTTCTCACAACTGAAAGAACCAAGCAGGGGAATCCTAAGGACGACGCGCCCGAATTTTTCGACGCTAAACCTGAGGCCTAAACTCAAAACCTTATTCACTAAACCCGCAAGGCGTAAACCCCAAGCCCTACTTAGTGGCTGAGTATCCCAGCCCAAAAAAGGTTAACTTGTTCAATCATGGTAGGGCTATGTAAACCCCAAAAGGTCAAAAGGTTACCTACTCAGGCACTAAGAATCCCTTATAGAACCCCTATAGATTAGATCCCTTAAAGGAACCCTCTACACTGACATAAACCCCAAAAGGTTTAAAGGTTACCTACTCAGCCTCTAAGCCTATCTAAATGCTGCATGACCCATAATAAGGAATATACCATATTTCCCATAGTTTAGGGCCCTTAAGGTCATGCAGGATTTATATCATCAACCGTAAGACCCCGTGTCCGTCCCAAGGCTTCGGCGTGACAATGACAGCCTTGGAGCATCTTTCGGGGCTTTGGTTTTAGGGTTCCTTTGAAGGGTTTCCCTTAACGGGTCCAACGGTTGATGATATAAATCCTGCCTTACCCATGAAGGAATATGCCATGATTACCATAGTTTAGGGTCCTTAAGGTAATGCAGGATATATATATATATATATCAACAGAAGTACCCAATTTTCCTCTACTCTCCGAAGTAGTGACCTAAAATAACTACTATCCTAAATCCACGTATCTAACTATTGCATGGGTCCTTTGAACTGTTGGGGATTCCTTGAAAGGATCATGCTCAAGGGTTTTGTTGTTTCTAAGGTTTCGGATTTAAGGTGATAAAAATATAGGGGCCTTAGTGATTCGAATATGGTTCTGGGGCCCATTATACTGTAATTTTCCATTACGAACCTCCAGACTAGTCTAGGAAATTATTGAAGCCTCTGATATAGAACTCTTATACTACCCTTACAGTAATCCTTATAAACCGCTATAAAAGGAAGCCTTAAAGGAACCCTTAGGTAACTATCAAGGCCCGTCTAGTATGGGTACAGCACGGAGGATCCCGAAAACTTGGAAAGCCTGGAGCACCCTGAGGGTCCAGGTATCTCCAAAAAAAAACATGCCTTACCCTAGGGTTTAAGGGTTTATAGGGTTTGGGGCTTATGTAAGGGTTTAGGGGTTTGGGGTTTAGGGTTTATGGGTTTAGGGTTTAAGGGTTAGGGTTTAGGGGTTTACGTATCTCTTTAGGAGGGTCTGGAATACCCTAGGGAGAGTCCTTGGGTCTCTTTGGGGTCTCAGAAACCATGAACTTTGAGGTTCCCCAATTTGTTTGAACCCTTAGAGCAAGAACTGCACTGGAAACCAGACTAACGACCTCCCTGTAATGTAGGGGCCTGAATAGCGTTTTGGGGCCCAAGATACCATAATATGTAATAAGGAGCCCCATAAAATAGCATTGGTAATTATTTAGGCCCCTGTAGTCATTCAATGCATGTTGCTTGCTTAATGGCTCTCTCCTTCAATACCCGGGCCCAAAAAAGTTTGAACTTTCTAATATAGACCAAATATATAAGGCCAAAAAGTTCAAAAAATTCCCCCATTGGCTATCTAAGACGGGACTAGATTTCCTTAAATCGGCCTTATTAGTCCTTATTATGGGCCTTAAGGCCCCCTACCCCCCCTCCCCCTACACCCCTAAGGATCCCTATGATTCAATGCATGTTGCTTGCTTAACGGGTCTTGGAGCCCGGGGGTTCGTGGTCCCCAGGGATTTGCGGTTCGACTGTCACCCCAAGGGTCCAACGGTTGATGATATAAATCCTGCATGACCCATAATAAGGAATATACCATAATTCCCAGAGTTTAGGGTCCTTAAGGTAATGCAGGATTTATATCATCAACAGAAGTACCCAATAGCCTCAAGGGCCTAGAGCCGTAAAGCCCTAAATCCCCAAAACCCAGAGCCCTAAAGCCCTACCCCAAGGGTCCAAGTATCTAATAATCATATACTCTCCAAAATCCTAACCTACATATAACTAAAATCCTAAAATACCGAGTACCTAATTACTGGGTCCTTTGGACCTTTGGGGTCATGTTGTCGACAGCACTGCTTAGGTGGTATGGGTCCATTCCTTCAACCATTGGAAACTTGCGGTACCCCACCCTTACGCCCCAAACAATACATTCCAAAGTACCTGAGCACTTGGACCTTCCCTAAAACCCGAAAACCTCAAAAGCCTGTTGGAAGCTCAATGCTTGACCCCACTAAACCTTCTACGAACCCCTCAATCCTGGCGCAGAGGTCCCCAAAATGCCGGCACCCTAACCCCAAGGGTCAAAAGGACCCAATAATTAGGTACTCGGTTTTAGATAGTAGTCATGTAGGTTAGGATTTTGGAGAGTATATGATTATTGGGTACTTGGACCCTTGGGGTAAGGGTCCATGTACCCAGATAGCATAGACTTCGGCCCGATAGGGGCTACTTCATGACCCAAGTCTATACGGGACTTGGGGTCCTTATAAGAAGGATCCTACTATTTCGGGTGTGCAATATATGAGGGACCCCTATTCTTGGAAACTCCCACTTGGGCACATGGACCCTTAAAGGAACCCTTCAAAGGACCCTTAAAGGGACCCTTGAAAGGACCCCTTAAAGGACTTACCTTAGGCTAGTAGGGAATGGAAGAATGGTAGTAATAGTAGTTATAATTGTACCCCCTTCCTCCATTCCCTACTAACCAAAGATAACAGGACCCCTTAAAGGAACCCTTACCCTAAGGCTCTAAGGACTCATATATTAAGGCTTTTGGGCCTAAAGACCATATTATGTAAGGCCTTTGGGCCGTTTTGAACCTTAGGGTTAGAGGAACCCTGTTTGAGGCAGCGAGGGCCCGGCTACCGGCGCAAAGCAAGCCTGCGCACGTTCAGGGAGGGCGCTTGCTGACAGGCTCACCCTAAGGGTCCATGTACGCATCCTTTAAGGGTACCATAAGGGATCCTTTAAGGGATCTATAAGGGTTCGATGAGGGTTTTGGGTATAAGGGTCCATGTACCCATATAGAGATGTATGGGCCCCAAAGTACCTATATAGGGACTACATTAAGGCCAATGTATATACTATATGGGGGGTTTCCGAAAATAGGGGACCCTAATATAGTACCCTAAATAGTAGGATCCTTATTATAAGGACCCCTAAATAAGGTACCCCTAATTTTCGGAAACTCCCATATAGGGACTACATAAAGGCCAACGTATGTATTATATGAGTACATGGACCCTAAGGCTCTTGAGCCCGAAATTC